TTGGGACTTGGTGCAATGATAACTTTTTATCAGCATGGCGAAAACTATAACATAGTGAAATTTCAGCTAATTTAACCGAAAACCATTTTCCATAGATTTTGTGCGGGGTCCTTTATACATTAAGTCAAACTGAACAAAAAAGTCTTCTAACATTTTGCAAATGACCACATAGATTTTTAGATATTAATAAAAGAAAATTGTTATATAACTGTGTATCATAATGTACAAATTTTCTTTAATTAATATCTAAAAATCTGTGGTCACTTGCAAAATGGTAGAGAACTTTTTTGTTCAAAATAAGACTTTTTTTCTAAACTTTCAGTTTCAATCTAATCTACATGAGAGCAAATATCGCTATCACAATTCATCTGCCATATCACACGTGATCATTTCCTAATCTTTTTTAATAACTCAAAATTTTACGTGACTGTTTGTAAAATAGTAGAAGAATCTTGTGTTCAATTTTATTTAATGTATATGTATATGAGGTATAGGACAATATGTCAGATATCCTAAATTCAGATATATTGTAGAGAAAATGGTTGAGAGATTTTCAACAAGAATAAAGTGGGAGATGGCATTGTTTACATTTTCTTAAAAAATGGCTATTATATTATCACCAATTTCTGGTAATATTTCTTTCAATGTGCAGCCATGTAAACTATTTTATAGTTAGATGTATTACAATTGCATATCAAGAACGTTTTGTTTTTGCTAAAATCTTTCACCTAATTAAATTAATAAGTCCATCATATACTAAAACAACAGATCCTAAAAAGATTAGCAAAAACTCTTAAGCAAGATTTAAGTTTAAATAACTCTTATCTTTCAAATATTTCTTTATAAATTTTTCTGTATATCTGAACTCGAATCATGTGTCAAGGGGGGGTCGTTATTAATATTTTTATTTTCTTATTTTATTTTATTTTAATATACGATAAACTCATAATAATATGAAAGATTTCCGGATAATATTTCGACAGAATGCAAATCTTGGATAAGAGCCTTAGCTAGTCTTTTAAAAACTCGCTATTTTAGTACACATTGGAGATGGATCTGTTTTTGTTTTTTTTACTCGTTTGTCACATAATGTAAGCACAGAAACTGATTCAAATGAATATACTGTTTACAATAGAAACAGTAACTTATGATGTTTTGAAGAAAACATTAAAATTTCAAATTTCATTTTATATCTCAACAACCAACTTCAACTTTTTACTTAGTTCTTTTTAGATATCACTTTCACTTCTTTTCTATATCTCAAATTAGAAAAAAATTAGTGATATGCTCCTTTTTGGATATTTGTCAAAATTAAGATAAGTCTTTTAAATACAGCTGTATATATAAATACCTTGTACAATTCCTCATCAAACTGAGAAAGTTGAGCTACTTCCTGCATCGCATCCTTCCGCATAATAAACGGTGTATAAAGAGGTTTGTAACCTTTCTTGAATAACTTCTTCAATGCTAGTTGCATTAAGGCTTGTTGAAGGAACACTGCTGGTCCAGTCAGGAAATAACCTCGTCCACCTGATACTCCTGTTCCACGTTCTCCATCCATTCCATCAATCATGTGGATCAAGTCAACATGAGAGTACTTTTTCTTCACATTGCAATCTCCCCAAGTTCTTTCTACCTGAAACACAAGTGGTTATTAAAGATCAACTACTATAACTTGTTTTAGCCATAAATAAAAAAGGAACAGGATTGAGTAATTTTTCTTTTAGCTTAACTAAGTTAAGCTTAAAGTTGATAGTTTACAAAATTAACTTAGTTAAGTTGAAAATTATATAAACAAGAGCTAACTTAACTAAAAGTTAAGTTAAAATTTACTTATCCAAATTAAAAGTTAATTATGCAAAGTAATATATTTTCTTAGTAATTATCCAGTTTAGCGACCTCACCTCCGATTTCGGTGAAAGTAGGCTCAATCGACGTGTTTTTGCATGCCAAACAACTTTTTTCTCTGACAAAATCGTCGCTCTCTATTGCAAAGCGAGATATTAATTGTTAAAGATGCTAGATTTGATAGGTTAAGAAACCCGTCATTGCAACGTAAAGTCTGTTAGTTAGAGTTGCACTTACTGTAACGCAGTGTACAGTAACTTCATGAAAATACTTAAATTAAGAATATTTTTAATATATTTGATATTTATAACACGGGAAAGATATCAAACGACGAGCGGAGGGCTGCGTCCTCCGCAACCCTCTAAAAACTAACCAAATCCAATCTATCGTTACATTGGTCATCGGTCATTGTTTATTAAAAAATGTCCAACCTTTTTTCTCAACTTTTTAATAAACAATGATTGCGGCCATCACCCCATCGTGGTGCGGGGGTCTGGGGGGGGGGGGGGGAGCCCCCCACT